AAGCAAATTTGATAGAATAATTGAAAGTTGTTTAGGTGCAAAGTGGATGAAATTCTGCCCCTGCTACTTAGCAGCTCCATGATATTGGACAAACCATGTAGCCAATCTCTGCAGGTTTATTTTCTTCATATTTCAAATAGACATATACATACCTTTTTATTTCTCTAGCTGGAAGGATTATATTTCTTGTTTGTTTTAATGAGCTAACATATATGAAAGTATTGTACATGAAAAGAACTATATAATATAAAACGTGATACATATTAATATGCTTTCAAATATGTCTCCCTAAGAAGACATAAAGAAAGGGGTTGAAAAACTATTTAAGGAATTATTGAAGAAAACTCCCCAAACTTGAAAAAGGAAATGGACATAATACAGAAAGCTAAGATGACACCAAATTACCTAAATAAAGAATATCTACAGCAAGACACATAGTAGTAAATCTCCCAACAGTCCAAGACAAAGGAAAAAAAATGATACTGACAAGGGGGAGGTAACAAATAGCATATAAAGGAACACCAATCAGGCAAACATTGGATTTCTCTGAAGAAACACTACAAGCAAGAAAAGAATGGAGTGGCATATTCAAATACTTCAAGAAAAAAAAAATGCCAGCCAAGAATACTTCATCCTGTAAAGCTCTCTTTCCTATATGAGGAAGAAATAAGGACCTCCCTAGACAAACAAAATCTATAGTAATTTGCAATTACTAAAAATTACTAAACCCCTCTTCCAAGAAACATTAGAAGAAACAGGAATGGACACTATATAATGATCAAAGGGACAATACATCAGAATGATATAACACACATCAGTATATACTCACCAAACAAAGGAGCTCCAAAATACATTAGAGAACTACTTTCAAATCTGAAAACAGACAATGGAGAAAATACAAATGTAGTAAACAGTACACAACCCTCACCAATGCACAGATTAATGTTCCTCCTACTGTTGTTGGGGGCCAAACTATTGTAGAGCAACCCCGATACAAAACAGGGTGCCTGACTGTGGGTCCTCACCCGCGCGCTTAAAAGGACTTATCAATGCTCTACTGCAGGCACACGCGAAAGGTTAATAAAAGGTTTATTTACAAGGGAAGGGGAAATGAGGAAATGTACAGCTCTGGGAGAAAAGTGGGAGACAAAGTTTTAAATGAGTCCTACCCGATCCGCCGATCAGGAATCCCAAAATGGCGCTCTCAGAGTTGGCCGCCAGCCAGGAGCGGTGAAGCTGTTGTAGAGCAACCCCGATACAAAACAGGGTGCCTGACTGTGGGTCCTCACCCGCGCGCTTAAAAGGACTTATCAATGCTCTACTGCAGGCACACGTGAAAGGTTAATAAAAGGTTTATTTACAAGGGAAAGGGAAATGAGGAAATGTACAGCTCTGGGAGAAAAGTGGGAGACAAAGTTTTAAATGAGTCCTACCCGATCCGCCGATCAGGAATCCCAAAATGGCGCTCTGAGAGCTGGCCGCCAGCCAGGAGCGGTGAAGCCAGGAGGCGAGCGATCGCGAGCCAGAGAGACAGCAAGGCCCACGTGTTTGGTTTTTATATCCAACCTGGCTGCCCAACTCCACCCTCAGGTCCCAGCCACCCTCCCCTTGGTGGTGATGGGATTTGTCTTTCCCAATGTCCTGATGGCTTTAGTCTGGAGTGGGGGTGGAGTCCACAAAGCCTGTATGAGATTATCTCAGGACATCCTTCCCCCTAACAAAGCCAGGAGGCGAGTGATCACGAGCCAGAGAGAGAGCCCAAGGCCCACGTATTTGGTTTTTTATATCCAACCTGGCTGCCCAACTCCACCCTCAGGTCCCAGCCACCCTCCCTTGGTGGTGATGGGATTTGTCTTTCCCAGAGTCTTGATGGCTTTAGTCTGGAGTCGGGGTGGGGTCCACAAAGCCTGTATGGGATTAGCTCAGGACATCCTTTCCCCCTAACACTACAAATGAAATCGTGTGGTATTTTTCTTTTTCCTTCTGATTTATTTCACTGAGCATAATCCCTTTCAGCTCCATCCATGCTGCTGTGAATGGCATAAGTTTATCTTTTTTGATTGTTGACTAGTATTCCACTGTATATTTATACATATATATTTATATGCACATCACATTTTGATCCAGTCATCTGTTTTTGGGCATTTGGGTTGTTGTTTTCATATTTTAGCTATTGTAAATAGTGCTGCACTGAACATAGAAGGGCAGGTTTCCTTTTGAATTAATGTTTTTGTATCCTTTGGGTTGATTCCTAGGAGTGGAGTTGCTGGGTCATATAGTAGATCTGATGTTGTTTCTGGAGTCTTTGGGTTTGGAGTGTGGGGTCCTTGGGTTCAATCTGGGAAAGTTTTCACCAGAGCTCCTGTTTCAGCAGCACTCAGCGAGTTTCTCCACGAGACAGAGACAGTGGTTTTATCAGGGAAAGGGACAGGAGAGTAAAAGACACTTGCATAGATACCAGCGGACAGGAAGAGCTGCCCCAAAAAGGGACAGGCTTGCGGAGAGAGGCCTGTGTGGTGGCAGGCAGGCGGCCTTGAGGAGAGCTGCCTCCACTCAGGGAGGTCCATGAAGGGAAGCCCGGGCAGGTACAGGTCACCGGCAGGCAGGGAGGCTGGTGCCCTGCAGAGGGAGAGAGTTGGTGAAAGGAAGCACCTGCATAGTCACAGGTGGGCAGAAAGACTGCTGCCCCACTGTGGGGGCTGAGTTAGGTTTTATCATCTTCAGGGAGGGGTTCATCTTTGTGGGTAGATGGTCTGTGCCCCTAGAGCAGTCTGATAGTTTCTGTGTGTTAAGCCTCCTGATCTGGGCGTTGATGCCTAAGGGTCTTGGTTTCTGTAACTGGGTTGACGGCTTACACTAATCCCCTCCACCCTCACCATGTGTGAGTTAGGTTCTTTTTTTTTTTTTTAAAGATTTATTTTATTTATACAAGCACTGGGTATAGTCAGAAGCATGGGAGGGTGAGAGAATTCACCAGAGCCAGAGCAAGGAACAGAACAGGCAGACTGACGAAATACACTGCTGAGGGGAGCAGCGGGCGGCAGGAGAGGTCTGTCACGCCATGTGGGACCCTCGACGGCGGCGGGGGATCAAACTGGCGCTGCGGAGGCTGTGGGCAGCTTCGCAACCCAGCGCTCAACCGCTGCACCACCAGGGGAGGCCTGTGAGTTAGGTTCTTGACCTTGTATCTCCTTTCCAGTTTTTCTATTCGTATCCTCCATCAGATCCATTTTTAGTAATTTGAGGGTCCTCCAAACAGATTTCCATAGTGGTTGTGATGGAGGATACGAATAGAAAAACTGGAAAGGAGATACAAGGTCAAGAACCTAACTCACACAAGGAGGTAGGGGTACCATGTACCAAGCCGGGACTTCTCCCTGACCACCCTCAGCGGAGGCAGCTCTCCTCAAGGCCACCCGCCTGTAACCATGCAGGCCTCTCTCAGCAAACCTGTCCCTTTTGGGGCAGCTCTTGCTGCCCGCTTGTGTCTATGCAAGTGTGTTTTACTGTTTGTCCCTTTCCCTAATAAAGCTGCTCTTTAAATATAACTACTGTCTCTGTCTCGTGGAGAAACTTGCCGCATGCCGCTGAAAGGGGAGCACTGGTGAAACCTTTCCCAGAGTGAACCCAAGGACCCCGCACTCCAAACTGACTCCAAAAAAACAGCAGTTGGACCAATTTGCACTCCCACCAGCAAAGTAAAAGTGTTCCTTTTTCTCCACATCCTCGTGAGCATTTGTTGTCGTTAGATTTTTTAATGCGGGCTGTTCTTGCTGAGGTGAGGAGATATCTCATTGTGGTTTTGATTTGCATTTCCCTGATTATAAATGATGTTGAGCATTTTTTCATGTGCCTATTGACCATTGCATTTCCTCTTTGGAGAAGTATCTTTTTAGCTCTTCTGTCCACTTTTTAACTATTCTTCATTTTGTTTCTGTTGACTTGTGTAAGCTCTTTGTAGATCTTTGATATTTGTCCCATATCAGTTTTGTGTAGTGCAAATAGTTTCTCCCAATCGGTGGGGTGTCTCTTCATCTTAGTTATTGTCTCTTTTGCTGTACAGAAGCTTTTTAGTTTGATATAGTCCCAGTTGGAAAACACTATATTTTTATTATGTTCAAACCATGTTGAGCAAAAGAAGCCACTCATAGAGGACCAGATATTGTATGATTTCACTTACACAAAAATTAAGAGCCAAAAAGAGAGGCAATCAAGAATTTGTTTTGGGAGCAAATAATTGCAATTTGCAGTACACAGATTCAAGTAGAAGCCAAATATGTGCCCCTCATCATTTAAAATTTGATACAAATCAAGGAGCAGCACCCTCTAGCTAACCAATCTAAAAACTTCCCTAAAAGTAAAATCTTATCTTGAACAAACCTGTTTCCAGCATGAGGAACCTGTGTTGCAGTAATCAGCAGGATGGAACTCTGAAGTCACTAAGATAATGACTTGAGGCCAGATGCCCACTTCCGTAAACGCTTTGCACATTCCCCACTCCTATAAAAAGCTTGAGACCTTTTTATTCAGGGAGGTGAATTTGAGCTTAGGCTCCCATGACCTCAAGTGGCTCCATTTTTCCATAATAAAACCTTTCCCTGCTTCAAACACTTGCCATGCAGTGTTTGGTCTAACTGCGTGGGCACATGAACCAACTTGGCAATAGGTAACACAAGAAGGGATAGAAATAAAGGGTTTTATGGAAGGAAAAGCAGAAGATAAGGGAAGTGGTGTTAAATAAGAAAAACAAAATAACCCCAAACAAGTTAATTTTAAAGACCTAATTGGTTTACGGGCTTTATTAAATGATTCGTGAATCTGGAAATGTCTTATCTAGCAAGTAGAAAGGTGCTGCAAGAAGTTGTACAAAATAGATGATTTTTCTAGCCAGGAATAGGCTGGGACATACTTATTAGCAAAAGAAAGCTTATCTTCCCTTAGAGGAGGAGGGTGGAGAATCTCATTATGAAGATTACCATACTGCGACCAGGAATCTTCAGATTGATTAATTAAAATTTCCTTTTAGATTGGAAACAGAGAGAAGATTAGCGTGGCCCCTGCACAAGGATGACATGCAAATTCTTGAAGTATTACACATTTTAAAAGATTTATTTATGCATACAAGAACTGGGGTACAGGCCAGAGGTGTGGTGGGTGAGAGGATTCACCAGAGACAGAGTGGGGAGCAGAACAGGCAGATCGACGGAAATACACTGCTGAGGGGAGCAACTAGTGAGACAGGAGAAGTCTGCTGCACCATGTGGGTAACTTCCTGGCCGGCCGGGGATTGAACTCGTGCTGCAGAGGCTGCGGATTGCTTCATAGTGCGGTGTCCAACTCCCTGCACCACCAGGGAGGCCCAGTATTACACATTTTAGTAATGTATTAGTGTATCAGCACTATATCTTTGGTAAGGGGTGAGTGAAGCTTGTGCACTTGTTGAGGTGTGACCTTGTACTCCAAAATATGGTCATGGAAGCAAATGACAAATCAATAAAATTTGGTTTTCCCCCACCACCATCCTTCATATCCTGTTGACCCTTTGTTTCTCCCACCTCTCTCATATCCTCAGTGTTCTCATTGTGCTTATTATTGTCCACTAGTTTCCCCCCCCCCAAAGATCTATTTATTTATGAATACAAGAACTGGGGTGTAAGCCAGAGGTGAGGGGGATGAGAGGATTCACCAGAGACAGAGTGGGAAGCAAAACAGGCAGACTGACTGAAATACACTGCTGAGGGGAGCAGCGGGAGAGTCAAGAGAGGGCTGCTGCGCCATGTGGGTAGCTCCCGGTCCGGGGATCAAATTCTTGCTGCAGTGGCTGGTGACAGCTTGATAGTGCTATCTTTAACCCCTGCACCACCAGGGAGGCCCGATGTCCACTAGCTTTTGCAAGTATTTTACTTTGTCAAATCATGTGTCACGTAAATGTTCAGTATTTGTTTTTGTCATTTTGGCTTGCTTTACTATATGTAGTTCCCTTAGACGTTCTCCATTTTGCTTTACATGGCTGCATTTCATCTTTTCTTATGACTGAATAGTACTCCATAGTGTTGAGGTGCACCTCTTTATCCAGTTGTCTATTGGTGGGCATTTGCGTTGCTTCCATATCCTAGCTAATGTAAGCAGTGCTGTGATAAACACTGGAGAGCACATTGGTTTTTGCTTTGATGGTTTCATGTTTTTTGGATCAATGCTAAAGAGCATAATTGTTGGGTTGTACAATATTTCCATTTTTAGTTTTTTAAGATGAGTCCAGATCACTTTCCAAAATCAATAAAATTTGATATAGGAAAAAAAAAGAAAATATCAAAAATCCCTCTTTTGGGAGAGACTGAAACTACAATTAGGTTAAGTATTAAATCTTGCAGCTTGGCATGAAGGACTTCATTTTGAACCTGTTGTTTATTTGAGTCTTATACACCTGAAATTCTTTCTTTTACCTTCTTGACTCTATTTAAAGCACGGAGTTTTCTATATTTCATTCAGAATCCCTTTTTGTGATCTTTTTACATATTCAATCTCTTAAGTGAAGAACTCTTTGTTCCTGGATCTCCTTTCTGAGATCTTGCTTCTGCCTGTCTGCCTCTGACTGGCCAGTATCTTTTTTTAAAAAAAAAAATTATTTTATTTATTTATGCATACAAGAGTAGGGGGGTAGGCCAGAGGTGTAGAGGTCGGGGGCAGTGAGAGAATTCACCAGAGACAGAGCGGGGAGCAGAATAGATAGACTGACTGAAATACACTGCTGAGGGGAACACTGGAGAGACAGGAGAGGTCTGCTGCACCATGTGGGTAGCTCCCTGCCTGGGAGATCTAACTCGTGCTGCAGTGACTGCGGACAGCTTCATAGTGCTGAGACTTAACCCCTTACGCCACCAAGGAGGCCCAACTGGCCAGTATCTTACTTAACATTTTTAATATTGTTGTTTTGAAGTTGCTGTCAGGTCGTTTCTCTATTTCTGTCTCCATTATATTTGTCCCCGGACTCTGTTCTTTTCATTTTGCTTTTCCATCTTCTGTTGAGATGTTCCTTGCTTCCTAGCCATGTATATTGCCTTATTTATAGCTGTTTATGTGTATGTGCTTGGGGTACTGGGGATTTATCTTTGTCCTCATCTTAGTTTACCTGGGTATAAGGTGGAGGTGAGGGGGTGGCTTGTACTTTAATACTCAATCTTGAGTTAAGGCATGACCTTAGTCATCTCTACCTCTTGTTTTGTTCCACAATAAGCTGTATTCTGGGCATAGGTTGCCTTCACTTCACTCCCACCTACCTGTGTAACAGTGTGACAGCCATAGAAAGGGAGGTTCTAGGTTCTTTGCCCCATCCAAGGAAGGATGGAGCTGAGCAGGGAGGAGAAGCTAGAAAAGAGTAGTAGAAGCAGAGGAAGGATGAAGAAAGAGAGGCAGCAGGAGGAGAAATGGAGAGCGATGGAGATCAAGAAGAAGATTTGGAGGAGGCCCATGGACAGAGAGACATGTAAAGAAGTGCTTTTGCTTCTAGGCCTTGGACTTGTATCAGGGACTTAGGAGTTGTGGAAGGAGACACCAGAAAGAGGCTGACAGTGGCAGCCTTTATCTTGACTTAAATTTTGATTTTGCTCTTTTCCTTTCAGGCTTGCCTGGCCCCCCTTCTGCTCTTTCCTATTGTAGGGCAAGTGAAAAATTATTCGGCTTTGTTGCCCTCCCACCATTAGCATTAATGATTGATTCCACCTGTCCTACATGCATGCCTGATAGCGGACACCTGTAGTGGGGTGTGGGCACGCATAGGTGGGCACACCTGGGCTGAAATGGGGCTTATAAAGGTAGCATCATGGAACACCAGTAGAATGAGGGAAGAGAGCAATAGGAGAACAAGAACGAGAGCAGCAGAACCAGTAGAGCAGCAAAGGAAAAGCAGAGACCATGAGAGAATGTCAGAGAACCCAGAGAGTGATGACTCACCCAGCCTCCTGGCCTCCTGGCCTCCCAGCCCCTCTTCCTTGTAAAAAGCTCAATAAAAGCCTGAAAAGCCACTGAGGGCTCAGAACTCTCCTTGACCCGTCTGCCTGGATCATAGAGATCCTGCTCTGTGCCTTGCTGCCACTATGCTATGGTTCCTCACCCAAGATACCTTACATTTGTGTCAAGCTTTCGGGCCTCCGTGGCCCTGCTTTGGGCAACACTCTTTGGCTGGGCATTTACCCACAAAGGGATGTAACTTTGGGTATTTCATGAAGAAATTATATTCTTTCCCTTTTCTCTATCACACACTAGTTTTATTCAAGTTCCTTTCCATTAAAGATCTTATGCATTAAGTATCAATTGTCTTGATGAGGTAGATGGCAGGACCTATTTTGAGCAGGCAGGTTTGGGGGTGCTGGGGTGCCCCTCACTCTGCCTGCTAACACCTGTTGTTTCTTTCTTCCAGCAATCATTATCTATGAAGCTCGGGTGTCCCAGCAATATCCGCGTCTCCAGGCTCCCATCCAGGAATAATCTGCACCCGGCTCAGAGGCAGCTCTGGGTGTGCAGTGGGCACAGGTATGCCCAGTTAACACTTTGGCACCCACCATGGCCGCCCTGCTCCACATTGGCCTGGCCTGCTGCCTCTGCAGGTCTGGGAAGCATACGCCCCCTTGGTCTGTCTTCCCGGAGAATTTGTGAGTTCACGCTAAAGCTGTTCTTTCTGGTTTAGAGGTGTTTATGGAGTTTGGATGTCAACGGGCTTTTCTTTGACCTCTTTCAGGAGGGGGGTGCGAAGAGAGCCAGCCCAAGTGCAGAGTTCTCAGGTCCCCAGGTCAGATTCTAAGGAGCTCCCACTGCCTGGAAAATTCCTTCAAGAAACGTCTAAATGTCCTGGGTCTCTCTCAGTGGAGTGACTTGGGAATTCAACTCCCTGCCCTGACACGCTCCCCTCACCTCCTATTCTTTGCTGTCAGTGGCCCCTTGGTTTTTTTTTTTTTAACTCCCTGGGGATGTCCTGGAGCTGGTTTGAAGCATCTGGATTTTTCTAGGAGCACATATCAGTGTTTTTTCAGTTGTTTTCAATGGAGAGGGTGATTCCAGAGTCTTTTTTGCCCACTGTGGGTGGAGTCAGGATGAACCTGTTGTTTCTCTTTTTTGTTTTTGAAACTGTGGTTAAAGAGTTGATTAGTGTTAACGAGCTTAAATTATTCTTGGCTACACATAATTGGTTATTGATTCTATCATCTGGCAAAAAGGACATAATTATTAATTTGATGCTGGGAGAAATGAAGGGCTATCCAGGAACCCCAAACTGTTCTAAAAGTTTTTCCCTTTCTAAAAGGATCCACCATCTATGCCCAGCAAAGCAAAAATCAAACTCTATTGCGTGCAAAGGTCTTTATTGTGTGAGAGGTTTAAAGGAAACAGAAGACAAGTAGGGGAGAGACCCTGAGTCAAACCCCCAAAATCACTTGTCATTTTAAGGGCAAATGCCTAGGCAAACAGGATCAGTCTAAAGTTGGCTGGCTGAGGCCTGAAAGATTTCCAGGAGTCCAAGACATCTCCCAGCAGGGATGAAACAAGCTGTATATTGGGCAGGGTCCAATATACAGCTTGGAGCAGGGAAGACACCCAAAATTTACCATGTACTATCCACCGTGAGGTCAAGATGATGGCTGCCATTGTCCTTTTAGTGCCTACCTACCAAAATGCTAAAACACCAGGAGTAGCCTCTGCACATATGTCTCCTTCCTCCCTATTTCACCATATATATATTTAAAGATTTATTTATTTATGCATACAAGAACTGGGGTACAGGCCAGAAGTGTGGAGGGTGAGAGGATTCACCAGACAGGGTGGGGGAAAAGAATGGAACAGGCAGATTGACTGAAATACACTGCTTAGGGGAGCAGCAGGCAAGACAGAAGAGGTCTGTTGTGCTATGTGGGTAGCTCCACGGCTGGGGATCGAACTCATGCTGCAGAGGCTGCAGACAGCTTCATATATTGCGTCTTAACCCCTTGTGCCACTAGGGAGGCCCCATACCTCATATGTATACGTGCTTCCTTGCTCCTTCCTCCTTTTCAGCTGCCCCCCACCCTTATTCAGGAAGCTGAGTTCATGGCAAGCTGGGAGTTGTAGTCCAAGG